GCAGCGGCGGGCTTGCGCCCTCGGGGCCGTGCTGCGTCGGCGCGGGCCGCGCGTGCGCGGCGACCAGCTGAGGCGCGCGACGCCGCCACGGCGCGCGCCCGGCCGCGTCCCCGAGCCGAGCTTCCGCCTCTCCGGAGGACCGGGCATGCGCTTGGCGGCCCGCGCATGCCCAGAACGCCACGGCTCCCGGCTCCCGAGACCGCGCAGGACAACGGCGCCGGGCTTTCGGGGACTGCGCGCGGGCGTGGCGGCCGGTCCCGGGAAGCCTCCGCGCGGGGCGGCCCACCGGCGGCACTCTGGGCGGGCGGGGTCGGGCCCACCTCGGGGAAACCCTCCCCCCCGCCCTGCCCCCACAGCCCGGACGCGGCCCCTTGGCGGGGCCTCCCTCGCCTGCCGCCCTGCAGCCCGGCCCCAGGGCCCGAACCCGCGCGGTCGCGCCCCGCTGTGGGCCGGGGCCTGGCCCGGGTCCTCGCCAGGCTTCCTGCCCACCCCGAGGAGTGAGGCGCCCCGGGCACCACCCCCCCGCGCACAAGGAAAGCGAGCTCGGGGGTGCTTGGGGACAGCGGCCCCAACGCTGGGCCGCACTTAGATCGGCCTGGAAGACGGCCGGAAGCGGGCTGTGGGGGGCGGCCGGAGGGGGCCCGCGCGCTGGTCGCAGGACGACCCCGGGGCTGGGGAGCCCGCAGCCCAGGGCAGCCGAGCCGAGCGAGGACACGGAGGGGAGGGGAAACGCGCGCCGCGTTCTTCTTGGGGCATCCTTGGGGCTGGGTTTGTTCCCCGGGCGGGGGGCCTGCAGCGGGTTTCAAGCAGGAAGTCGTACTGATTTGTGCTCTTAAAAAAAAAAAAAAAAGACGACCTTGCGGTTGAAACCGAAACCAGGAGCAGGTCAGCTTTCATTTTCACGGCGTCGCTTTTGATGCCCAGGGCGGACCAGGGCGCAGGTCAGGCGCGCGGTGCGGGGAGAGGGGCTCCCCGGCCGCAGGGCCCCGGCTCTCTGGTCGCAGAAGCTGTCGTTGACGCCAGGACAGCAGAGGCAGGTCCGCCTCGCAGGAGTTTTACATGCATGTTTCTGTCGTTCTCTGACGAAATGTCATGTTGTTCGTGGATCCTTTTAACCCATCAGAGTTTGCAGGACGTGTGTGTCTGTGAGCCCCGGGGCCGTGTCCCCAGTGTTTGCCGCACCTGGAATGCTCCGCCCGCTGCGTGGAGCCTCTCGCGCCCCCACGTCCTTCAAGCTTCCCTGTCCCCTCCCTCGCCGCCAGCTGACCTCTCTATGTGTAACAGGAACCCCACCGCCCTCCGAGCTCTCACCCCCCAACCCCCCACTCCCGCTCTGTTGTTCTCCAGAGCAGCTATTGTCCTCCTCGGCCCTACACTGGGTGTTTGTCTTTCCCTGATTGTGTGTCCCTCTCTCAGAACGTGAGGCTCAGTAAAGCAGGGACTTGTTCACCCGTGGGTCCCTGGCGCATAATGAGATACTTGTGGAGTGAGTGACCGCAGCTTTGGGTGATGGGAAGTAAGACACTGTTATTTAAAGTACGGGAAGGGAGTGGAGGCACAAAGGGGATTACAGTGAGGAGATGTTCGTGAGGCAGCGGGGGCGCTTTGGCAGACTAGGAATGGCCACCAACCTGTTGGCACTGCCCCCCACAAGCCATGGAATCTAGTCATTCACCCCTTGAAGGTGGGTGGCTCTTGTAACTTGCTTGGACCAAGAAAATGCGCCACAAGGGATGTGGTGTGAGTTGTGAGCCCAAAGCTGCAGATGGGATGGCTTTCTTGTCCCCTTCTCAACCAGTCCAAGCAGGTCTGGGGACCCTGGCTGACACCGGGGCGAGGCTGTCCTTGACCATCCATCCCAGCCGAGTATTTAGCCAGCTGGGGACACCAGAGACCCAGAAAGACCAGCACAACCGCGGACCAGCCCAGACTGGCCGGCCAGAGACTCATGAGCAAATAAAACACTTGTGGTTTTAAGCCTCTAGTCTACACAGCCATAGGTCACTGATATATGGGGTTAGCTTGCCCTTGCCATGGCGCGTTCAGAACTGATGTTCTTGAGGGCAGCTTTGATGATTCTTCTGCCTAATGAAAGCAGAAAATCTGGAAAGGGTGAGAGGAAAAAGTGATGCAAAGAGTACGAAGAGGAGAAAAGGTAGACGTAGGCATTGAGCAGGACGTTGTCCAACAGAGACCCTCCTTATCCCCTGAACATACCCTGTGGTGCCTAAGAGCTCAGGCTCAGGAGTCCATGAACGATGGAGCCGACCCAGGTTCAAGTTCAACTCCTCACCGGGGTCCCACACTGAGCAGGTTGTATGATGTCATTGCTCATCTGTTAGTAGAGTTTATAGAGAATCTCCATAACATTGGGTTGTTGTGGGGAGAGAATGAACCATTCTTGTAGAACAGCAGAGTGCTTGGCTGAGTACTCAGCTAGCGGCAGGTGGTCAAGCAGAGCCTTGCCTGTCCGCCAGGCAGGCTCTGCTCTTCCACGCGTCTCCTCACCAGACCTGCTTGGACTTGTTGAGAAGTGGGCCAGAGAGCCAGACCATCTCCTGCAGCTTTGGGCTCACAAGTCATGCCACATCCCTTGTGCTTGGCACACACACCCTCAACGAGGGTTATTGCTTAACAATAGCATTACTGTACGGGTTACCGTGAATCTTGATCACAGAGTGGGTATTTGAGGATCACCCAGACTGTCATGGTAACAAAAGCTGATTTTACTCAGCTCTGTGGGTCAGAGGCTGTATCCAGGGTCTCCACACTTTATAGCAACCCTGTGGCATGGGCATGTGAACATCATCCTCCTTTCATTGTTACAAAAACTGTGACCAAAAAAAAGGAAGTGATGGGACAGGTAGCAGGGCTGGAACTCAAAGCCAGTCTGTCCCCCTGCAAAGCATGCACTCCTCCCTCGTCCTGCGCAGCCTCTGCCACTCTCAGACCCCATCCAAAAAAGCAAAACACGCAAGACCATGTGGCTTCTCCCCTTCCTGCGCTGCCAAACAGGCTGAGCGCTGACCTTATGTGGGAAGCAGTCAGGAGGGGCTTCCTGTGCATTGGCAAAGCAGCGGCACAGACCCTGGGAGCACTTCCCCCTTGAAACGCACCCTCCCACCTCCCCGGGCTGATGAGGGCTTGTTGCTAGGAGGGACTTGCTCACAGTGGAAACAGAAACACCCCTTAAGGCTGGGGGTAGGTGCCCAGGCAGGAGGATGTGGACTGAGAAGCTGATTCAACAAAGAACTATGAAGCCCAGGTCTTTGGCTCCTCGTGGCGCTGACCGACCTGCAGAGCCACACAGAGACACCAGAATGAGAAAAACTGGGATCCGTGAGACTGGTGCCTGGGGCACTTGGAGATCCAGTACAAGCTGTCACTGGGAGACATGGGTGTGCCACACGCCCTCCAGGGATGCTGGCCCTCAGCGGGGAAGCATCAGGAGACTGGTCAGGAAGGAGGAATCTGATTGACCTGGTTCAAACCCCAGCTCGCCCACGTGATAGCCCAGTGGGCCTTAGCAGGCCACTCTACTCTCTGAGTCTCAACTTCCTCATCAGTAAAATGGGGAGCAGGAGGGAGGCCGGCTGTAAGAGCAGAAGGGAAGGGGGTGGGGGCACCCCTAAGGAAGATGCTCAGAAGGGAGGCCAGGTGAAGGAGGGACAGTTCGAGGGACTAGAAGCCAGATTCCCTCCTTCAACATCTCACCAGTGTAAAGGCAAGATGGGCCACCACCACCACGTGCCCCTGGCCCCAAAGGGAACATTCTAGACTTTCAGGAGAACTAGGCTGTTGATGCAGGTTTCGCTATATGTTTGTAATTTCACTTTCTACAGGAATTTAATGTAGGGATGGGGGAGTGTCATGTCCCCAGTCATGCTTGCAGGGGGCGGACGTCTCTCCAGGAGATGTGTGAACAACTTGCCCCAGGTGTGGGTCCATCCTCAGCTGGTGCTAGGGGTGCCCCAGCCACTCCTGCTCACGAAGATCTCCCCACACCTTGCCCCACCATGGTGATCCGCACTAGCTGGGCCTCCCCCAGGCCCTGCCCAGGGGCCCAGCCCTATGGGCTAAGCTGCCTATAGCAGCAAACACAAGACCACTCTCTGGGGCTCCCAGGTCTGGGCTGCACACCCACTTCCCAGGACTCACAACCCCCCCCCCCAACGCACAGAGGGGGAAACCCTTTCCCTGTACAGTGCTCAGCAGGTCCCACACAGGGACAACCACCCATCCTCCTAACCTGAAATGCCCCGTCAGTCTGGAACACTTGCAACTGGGCCTCAAATTAGCATCCATCCAGAGCGCCCACATACCTGCACCAGCCTCTAGAAAAGAGAAGGTCTACATTTTCCAGGAAATTCTGCCCCAAAGCATTGGTTATCGCATTCATTTGTTGGAACTCCTCAGATAAGTGCTAGTAAATGCATCTTCCATATGGGTAAATTGAGGCTAGAAGGTGCTGACTACCCAGCTCAAGTCTACCCAGCATGTAAGGGGCAGAGACGGGATTCGAACCCAGCTTGTGGTGCTCCAACGTTGTGCTCTCAGTGACTGAGCTCCCTGGCCCTCCCCGAGCCAGAGTGGCGACCAGGACGGAGTTCAGAGGAGGCCCTCTCGCCTTCTCTCTGGGATGAACAGTGCGTAGTGGCTTAGCAAAGACGATGCCATTGCTGGGGCTACCCCAGACCTGTCCTATTGTGGGCTGGACAAAAGTAATTATCATTGCTTTGATCCATATTAAATCCCCACTAAAACAATGTCCTCTCTGCAAATTCTGTGGGGGTCACACTCAGCACAGAAGGCTGCCCACTTTCCGGTACCTGCAAGGTGGGCAGACAGCCCTTGGAGATTTCCCACTTCTCATATCTTTTCTGCTTCGTTTTTTCTCTCCCAACCTCCAGCTTCCCCTCCCCACTCTCTTTTCTCTCTTTCTCTCTCAAGTAAATATATAAAATCTTGAAGAGAAAAAAAAAAAAAAAGCCTAAGACTCCAGCACTCACGGAACTTCTGGTGAGGCTGGCTAAGGCCTATCTCTCAGGGATGCTCGCTCCCTCCTGAAGCTCTAGGGTCCCGTCTCACATGGTTTTCCGCTTGTGATAGCCAAGGGGCCCCATCTGCTCCCCTCAGCAGCCTCTGGGGAGAATCTGCCCTTTTTCCAAGTGTCCACAGTCTTCTGGCTTCCTTCGGCCATGGACCCGGAGGTGGACTTAGTTTCACCCAAAGCAATCCAAACCAGAGAGTGTGCCGGTAGGAAGGGAGGAGGTGGTGGGAGGCCCGAATGCCAGAGGCCCCCTCCCTTCCTCTGGTCCCAGAGGACCCCGCTCTTCCCTCAGAGCATGGCCTGCCCCCACGTTGCTCATGGCCCCGAGGTACCCCGGAAGACCCCTGGCACCTGTGGTGCCCTCCTTCCCCGGTGGTGGGCTCTCTCCCAGAATGTACCTCTGCAGCGTCTTGGAGAGAAAAGGCAGTCAATGCCGAGGTGGGGGGATGGG